CTTGAGATATCCAACGCTCGGTGTGTGTTACAGACACCTGCCACGGCCCACTTGAAAAGAAAAAAGTAATAAATCCCAAACTCAGAGCTGAGCCCGTGGGTTTTCATTCCCATCATTTTCATGCCAAGGAGCACAATGCTCCCGGCAGGCCGCGGCGCCCTGCGCTAACACGATTAGCCAGGCAGATCCACCACCCGCATCCGGCACCCCCAACGCTTGGTCAACTTTGAAAAGTTCAGCAGCTCAACAGGTGAGGCCATGAAACCCGATCACAACAGACAATGTCATCCCCCCCAGCGTCGTGCTGGGAAGAACTTGTCACGTGCGTCATATCGGGCAACACGCTGGAAACAGAGCAGCGCGCTGAAACCCCAGCAACACGAATAATCTTTGCCATCTGTTTGAACAACTCAACCCTCCTCAGATCTAAAGGAATGATCCCATGCAAACACAAGGGCCTTGCTGACTGATTATAGCAGCCCAGCCCTTCTTTTTGGGGGCCGTTTTCCTCCCAACATTACACAGCAGCTCAGGACACAGCCGTAGGGAGCTGCTGCAGTGGCCAAGGGGGTACTGAACTCCATGCACATTCCGAGGGGACCATTAAAAGTCCCCACTTGCTTAAGTACAACACAATGCAAGGTCAATAGTTGAGTTTTAAATTTTTTCTCGCATCAAGAAAATAAAATCTCAACACCAAAATTGTTTGGCAAAACCTTCCCGGAGAACACAAGTGTCCTTTAGGAGATGCTTGTTCTGACCCAGCACAACTCACAGGAATGCAGACTGGAGGAACCAGTCTTTGCTCAGATGCAGTCATTTGCACCCAAAGTCCAGTTGGAAGTATCAGGACAGTTCCCAAACTTCCTGGGGCCAATAAACCATGTGACACTCAGTGGAAACCAACCACAGTTCTGTCTGTGCTGCTGGGTCCATCTATCACTGGGAAGGCAATTAAGCAGCAGGTATTAAATCTTCATTAAAGCAGAGATTATAGACGATGTCCAAACACAGGGGCAAAATCCTGCCTTGCTCAAGATTTGGTTCATCAGGGCTTTCACCTCAAATTTTTAACCTTATTCTTCCCTTGCTCACAGCCTGACCGATTGCAAGCACCAGCTTGTACCCCCACACATTCCCTGGGGCAAAGAAAGGAGGCTCATGGGCAAAAATATAAAAAATAAGGAAGTTTCTCCCAATTCAGGAATTGCTTTCAAGCAGCACTTTGCACCCTAAAGTCCAAGCAATTTCGGAGTCTAAGAAATGCATATTTGAAACAGTTTATCACACACCACCAGACCACAGGGCCTGATCCTGCTGATCCAAATCACCCCATCTCAGCAAGGACAATGAATTAAGGCAACCTAGGAGTAGTGGGAAGACAAAGCACCAGCATTTTAAGAATTTTCCATAAGAGAAAAGATGAAAAAAGGACAAGAGATCTCCCTGGTGCACTGCTAGAGGCAGAGGAGCTCTGCCTAGTCCTGCTGGCGCAGTTACAGCCGGCACAGCCACGGCACACGGGTTCCTAGCAGAGAGCTACAGACTTGAAATATAAATCAGTGATGTTGACTAGGGCTGACAACACCCAGCCCAAGGCAGGAGGGACTGGGCATTACAGCCCACTGGGCTGAAAATAATAACAAAAAAAAGAAAAAACCCAAAACATGTAACACTAATGACAATAATTTTTTCTCACAATAACCATAGGACAACAGGCTTTCAAGTCCGTATGACATTTCAAAATGCATCGTTGTTGAATCAAATGAAAAAAATCATAAAAGAAATTCAACAACTGATTTTCTAGCCTTGGAAGAAACACTTTGTTCCTCCCCACCAAGCTCTACAGCAAACCCCAAAGAGAGCAAGGACATCCCTGAGGCTGCTCAGCCAGACACATGCACACAGGCTGTGGAGCTGAACTCCCTACTGCCACAAAGAGGGAACTTCTCTACTATCCAAAAATTCAAGGCACTTCATAAAATTAGTTTGCAATAGTGGCTGGATCCCATTCCTCCTCTGTCATAATACATATTTTCACTAGAAGCAGTTAACATGCTGTATTCATTACAGGGGAGGGGGGGAGGGGGGAGAAAACCCTGCAATGTGCATACAGAAGTTATTTCCACCAAATTTTAGTTATCTCACTATCAGAAAAAAAGCATTTAATTTGTCCTGTTTTCCCCCAGCTTTTCAGGAACGATACTCAGCACCACTCAATGGTTCCCTGCATTCCACACTACGGGAACAAACCAACAGATTTCATTTCACTTGACAGAAAGTGAAGCAAGGAACAAATTTATGTTGCCTCCTTCTAAAGTTATTTTCAGTAGATGAAAACTTCAGGCAGAAATAAGAATTCATCAAGCTAAACAAGTAAATCGCATGCCCCTCCATCTTGAAAATCTGAAAAATAAGATTTTGGATGGTAGGGACAACTTAAACAAAAACTAACAAATATAAACAGATTTAGCCAATTAGGTAAAATACACTTCAAATGAAAGATGGGTCAAAAATTCTATCGTTATCTTTTCAAAGCCAGGCAGTTGGATTTGCACTGCACTCCGGGTGCTGAGGACACAGTAACTCCCCCAGTCCCAAAGTTCAGTAGATTTGAGCAAAAGCATCTGAAAAATAAAGATGAGGCTCGCCCAGCTCACTGCACAATGCTGACACCACGCACCTTTTACACCACGCATTTTTAATCCAACTGCACTGAAACACTAACGAGAAAATATAAACACATCTCCTTATTGATACTAAGATAATAAATAAAAACCTCATTAGGTCTGGGAGAAATAAACATGTTCTTGAGGAGTGCTGGGAAGCCAAGATTCACTGAAGTCAGCAAGAACTTCGAGTTCTAACGACTAAACTTATAGGAACAAACTTCTGCATCTAATTCTAATTAAGTTAGAAATAATATATTTTTATATTTATAATATACTTATACATATATATATATAGAGACAGTATATAACAATGGAATATATATATATATATATATATATATATATATATATAGACAGTATATAACAACTTGTCTGCTGGTTTTCATCCTCTCCCAAGTATTTTGCATTATTTAGTTCCCCCCCAACTGACCCAGGTCCCAGTTCCACAGACAGCCAGATGCACTCCCATCTTCGGGGTGAATCACACATGACTGATTTCAAGACTTCCAGCATCTCTTGCTGCTTGAGAGCATCACCATTCAGACCTCAAGATTTGTCAGATCACAGCTGAAACAGCCCTTTTGCAAAGATACTAATGAAAAAACAGAGTGTATTTGCAGGGATAGGGCCCATGCTGCTTAAAATCCAGCAGCTGATAAGGTGAAGCTTTAGGAAGTTAAACACAATACCTGCTCTCCAAATTTAAAAATAATGTATATCGTTTAAATATTGGCTTTCACCCACTACATCTGGGATAACAGATGAACTCAATCATAAGCATTATTCTCTTCTTCTCCCCTTCCACCTCCTACTTGTAAAAGATTAATCAACCATTTTATGGTCTAATTTAGGTGTCTAATTAAAAACAGAGCTCAACACATACAACACCATTTTGCTGATAAATCCTGACAGGTTTTCTGCTCTGTTATATGCAAGTTCTCCTTCAAAATGTGACATTTTTTAACTCAACTGAATTTACAAATGTTTCATTTGGGCTGCTGTGGGACAACACGCTGCAGCCTCCACCGAGATGACAGAATGTCCTAAAACGAAACAGCTTTCAAAAATTACTTCCTCCTCATCAGATCTTATCCTGCACTCATTTCACTAACTGCTGGGGGATGGCAACATTAAAAAAAAAAAAAAAAAAGTCATAAACCTAATCGGACTTGTCGGGTGGGAGTTTCAAGACTACAAAGAGGTTACAATTCGTAATTTCACAGCTCCCATCTAGCTTCAAAGTTTCCATCTCGGCTTCTTTAGCATTCCTGTAAACACTCCGTAGAAAGACATATTCAAAACGCTCCTGATAAAGGAACTTCAATGGAAAAAGGGCGAGAAAGGCACCGAAACGGGGGTCGCCCCTCGCTCGGTGTCCGATCGCGCTTCTCCTCCGCACCCACCGCCGCCCGCTCCGCCGAGCCCAGCCTCACCCAGGCATCCCGGACCGGGCTGCTCCTCGCAAAATCACCGACAATTACATCCATCCTTAGAGGATGCAAGCCAGAAATTTATAATTTTCTCCCAGTGCAAAGGGTTAATCCCGTTCCCGACGCGCCCGTTCCCCGCTGCAGCCCGCACCGCTCCCGCAGCGCAGCGCCGGGCTGGCGACCGCGACCTCGGGCAATCGATCAGCTCCAGAGATGGTCACGGGGAAGGAGAAAGTTAACGGAGACTGAACGCAGGCACCGAGTGAGGAAGTTTTATTTGGAACATGGAGCTGCCGCCTGCCAGTCCCAGGCAGCGCTCCCGGAACGGGACAAACCCCCTCCAAACGTGTAAAAAATCCCCAGACGGGTAAATTCTCCCCACCTCGCCTCCCCCACGCTAAAAAAAGGAAAAAAAAGAGAAAACGGGTCAAGTGCCACTCCAACGGGTACCAAAAAACCCCAAATCCCAACGGGTCAAAAACCTCGCGAACACGCGGCCGCTGAGCGCACCGCCCGCCCGGGCAGAGCCGGGACAGGCACCAGCCATCCCCCAGCAACACCCTGAGCTGCAGAAGTACCCTCCAGCAAAAGACCTGGAAGTACAGCGGAAGAAGAGTGTTTAAAAATATTAAATTAATATGTAACCTTTGTAAAAAAAAAAATTAAATACGGTTTGGCTCGCGGAAAACCTACAGACGCTCCGCCGCCGCCTGGGCTAACGGGGACCGCAAGTTGCGCTCTGGGTTTATTATGTTTTTAGGGGTTGTTCTTTCGGGGGAAAGCATTTAGCGGAACATTTACTCTTCGCCCGGGCGCTCCCCAGCCTGCTCCGGAGCCCGGGGCGGCCGCATCCCCGCACCGGGGCTGGGAGCCCGCTCAGCCCCGGCCCGGCCCGTACCTGTACCAGGCGAGTCCCCGCTCGTAGTTGCGGTCGAAGAAGTGCGGCTCGGCGCCGACGGCGCGCACGTCGGGGTGCACCCGCAGGAACTCCAGCAGCGCCCGCGTCCCGCCCTTCTTCACGCCGATGATGATGGCCTGCGGCAGCCGCTTGGTACCGGAGCCGTTGAAGAAGCTGGAGATGGGGCTGCCGGCGTCGGGCGCTGCCCGCTGCTCCTCCAGGCTGCTCTCCTCGCCCGGCTCTCCCGGCAGCGGCGGGGCGGCGCGGGGCGGCGCGGGGGACCCGCGGGTCGTCAGCCCGGCGCAGGAGCCGGCGCACGAGTAGAACATATAGAGCCAGAGGAAGAGCATGATGAAGAGCAGCAGCAGCCTCCGCCTCAGCGGCGGCAACGCGACGGGGACATCGAGGCAGCGGTTCAAGCGCTGCCCCATGTGCCCGCGGGCGCACCGGGATGCATGGCTGGAGCCCGCCCGGCTCGGCTCGGCTCTGCCCGGCGCCTCATGGGCACCCTGGAGCCTCAGCACGGCCCCATCGCTGCCCGGCCCGCTCCGCTCCGCTCCGCTCCCGCCGCGGCAGCGCCGGCAGAAGAGCGGCGGGGCGGGGCGGGCGCGGGCGGCGCCCGCAGCCAATCACGGCCGCGAGTTCCCGCATAATGAGATGGGGCGGGGCTAGGGGAGCGGAGGGCGCGTTGATTGGCTGCCGGCAGGAGGGGCCGCACCCCCGGGGCGGGGTCGCAGTGCTGGACGCTCGCTTCCAGCCGGGATTTCCCGTGCGGTGTCCCCCGCCGCCGGGAATGGCCAGCCTGGGGGCAGCCACTGGGAGCATCTCGGTCATTTTTTGATCCTCCTTATCCCCAAAAACGTGGATAGCAAGGCTTCCAGGGAGACTTTATTGTGGTCTTTCAGTATCTAAGTGGGGATTGTAAAATAGGTGGGGACAAAGCTTTTAGCACAGTCAAGGGATAATGGTTTTAAACTGACAGAAGGCAGGGTTAGATTAGATATTAGGCAGAATTTTAAAAAAAATAAATAAATAAAAAAGACAGACTGTCTGAGGTTGCCCAGAAAAGCTGTGGATGGCCCATCCTTGCAAACATTCAAGGCCAGGGTGGATGGAGCTTGGAGTAACCTGGTCTAGTGGAAGTGTCTCTGCCTGTGGCAGGGGGCTGGATTGTATCACCTTCAATGGTCCCTTCCAACCCAAGCTATTCTGTGATACTATGATTTGCCTGTTTTGTTGATGAGTTGGCTTTTCAATCTGCTGCACCTTCTGTTGTGCTGTATTTTCTGAAATCCCTGCCCATAAAAATTCCTGGTGAGATTTGCCACGGTCCACATTATGGGAGTAACACACAGAAACCAAACCCAACACAACAGTCCTGCAAGGCAAACTAAGATAATCTGTCTGAGGAGATCCTTCCTGCAGTACCATTAGCTGTGGGACCCTCCTTTCCAGGACCATTGCTCCAGCATTCTCCAGGGATGGAGATTTTCACATTCCATGGAAGTGCTTTAGCCAGTATTCTCCCAGCAATCACGTAACTTACAGCTCCAATACATTTGGGCAGCTTTTCTATCATGTTTTTATTAAAAGATGCATACATGTTTTTACAGAATTTGCTGCTTTCAGAGCACTTTTGCTTTGAGAGTGAGGTTTTGCTGAAAGCTTTTTTTTTTTTTTAATTTTCCCCCAAACTAGAGGAGAATCTTTTCACCGTGAAGAGCCTTAATTTTGTGTGTCAGAAGCAACAGCATTATCCTGACTTATTCATGTATCAACTGTGTATCAATCCCTAAACTGGTACATAAAAGTGAACTGTTTCCATCACACTGGCTGTGGTGTGAGAATCTTGTAAAATAAGCTGAAACTACAAACTGTAGTTTACAAACTACTTAAACCAAGCAGACTGAAGAGGGGAAATAGCCTGAGAGGTGTATGAGTTCTCTAAAAGCTGCTCAGTGGGTTAACACAGAGCTTGGGCCACCCAATGTCCATCAGTACCAGTGTCACTCATCCCCATTCCTCCCAGCACCAAGTATTTGCAAAGCAGATTTTGGGATGACATAAGGAGAAATTTTGTACTTCAGCTACAGAGTCAACAGCAAAGAATTCCAATGTTTCTCTGCTATGAGATAAAATAGGTGGCCCTGCTGGGCTGTGCGTGTGAAGGGTGATCCCAAACCAAGCAGAGATGGAGGTGCCAAGCTGTGGCAGGAGGAAGGAGGAATTGCTTTCCAGTTTCCCTCTGTGTGCTGGCAAAGCTCTGCCAGCTGGCCCAGATGGGTAATTGTGAAGAGAATTAAAGAGGACAGTTCCTGGCAATGCATGAATCACAGCTGTGGGCAGCAATCGTTCCATGCATGCCTCTCCTGCACCCAGGTTTACTCACCTCTGCACTTGGTGTTTTGTACAGTTCCAAACAGAAAACCTGCTGCTTCCACACGTGGGTTGCTCCACTGCATGTTCCTACACCCACGAGCTAACAGGAAAACCCTTCAGATGGAATCATTCTTCTTCTTTACAGCCACTAGCACCAGCCAGGATAAGTGTCACACAAAGTTTGGTTTAAGCCTTTAATATTTGTCAGCTGTGGCTTGTAAAAGTTGTATTGGTTTTTTAAGAAAAATAGCCCCAAGATAGGTTTTACTGGAATTGTATCTTCAACAGTTGGATGTCAGGAGTTTTCCCCTTAGGAAAGGCAAATGGGTAAGTGACCAGAACATCATCCATGCAGAGGTATGTCAGGAGGAGGGCTGGGCTCTCCCTGGAACACAGAGTCGGGGTGAGAGAGGTTTTGACCAGTGGCTTGGGAACCAGCTGTGGTTCCATCCTCCAGGCTGACCCACTGGCTGCAGCAGGAGCCCACACTGCTGCTTGGCAGAACACAGGCCACCCCCATTCCTGCTGCCATCTCAAAAGCAGGGCTCCAGCTGGGCTCAACACTTGCTCTTGGCTCCTGGAATTTGCCTTAATGTGCCCCAGGCAGCAGTTGTGGCAGAAGCATGTGTGCTGTGGCCAAGGATGGGGGCATAGGGCAAGACAAATTTTGAAGAAACAGAGTTGGAAACAAGCAGAAATGCCCAGCACAACCAGAAATGCACAGCTGGCTTTGCTCCATGCCCTAGAATCAGAGCAGTGGTTGTCTTGCTGGCTGGTTAATCAATAACTAATTGAGCTGCATCAGTACAGTCTCCATATCCTGTTTCTTGGTGATCACTGATGAGACAGATGGCAGTGGGAAGGTGCAGCTCCTGACAAGGGGTCACAGTAGCACTTAGTGGAGCACTGCTGAGATGGGCCTGGAGGCTGCCCAGATCTGCAGAAAGCAGAGAAGCCAGCAGGCCTTCAAGAAAAGATGCTGGCTGCCCAGAGAAGCCATGGATGTCCCAGTCCTGGCAGTGTTCAAGGTTGGATGGGGCTTGGAGAACCTGGTCTAGTGGAAGCTGTCCCTGCCCATGGCAGGGGGCTGGAATGCAATGATCTTTAATGTCCCTTCCAACCCAAACTGTTCTGTGCTTCTGTGACCAAATCCACAGTGAGGAGAGAGGAAGGGTGAGGTGTGTTGGCTCACCTCACCAACATCCACCCTGGGTGACTCTCCCCAGGTGATGCGTCCTACAGATGCAGCCATGTGCTTTCCAGCATTTCCTTGGACTCTCACACAAGGCAGCAGTTTCCAGTGCTTCTCCTGTCCTGTCTGGATGCTGTTTCACCTTGTTGCTTTATCTCTTCCCAGTCAGAAAATCTGTATGTCCTTTTAGCAAATGTTATTTTTCTGACACTGAAGAGGCTATTTCTGAAATGCTCTGGAATGCTCCTTCTTCTGAAAGATGAAGGCTTCACACACAGCTCTTCAGAGATCTGCAAGAACAAGCCCTGATGGGGTGATAAATAGGAGCAGGTACCCAAAATCAAGTCACTGTGCTCTTGGTCCCAATCCAGACAGATGCAGTTTTCCTGACATGGTTAAAGTTCTGTTTTGAGAAAAGTAACTCACCATTTCATGATGCTCAAGTGTATGCTCTTGGGAAAATGAGTTGTTCTACAGCGTGTAACCCTTGAGTGCTCTGCTGTACAGTGACCTGGCCAGAGAGGAGGTGACCAGTCAACACCACCCCTTTTTTGGGAACATACAGAACCCAGAACACTGATGTGCAGGGCTTTGGTGTGAGACTTCTACATTCCTCGTCCATCCATATGTGTCTATAATGGGATTTTGTCCTTATTGCCACACTCTGGGATGTTTCCCAGTGACAGAACCATCTCAGCAATCTCCCGCTTGCAGGGTCCCAGGAAGAGAAGTCCTGCACTTCTTTATTCTACTTTTTCCCCACCCTAGGAAATCCTTATTGCTGTCTCCCCGCTGTGCCTCTTCCACACATGTCCTGTGCAGTGCACCCTGTGCTGCTGCAGAGCACACAGGAGCTGGGGATCACTGACGGATAAATCTTGTGTGTCTGTCAACAGCCTTCTCTCCACCACTGCACTCATCTGCCAGACTTGTCCTAGCAGCACCATAGTGAGGTAAGAGCTGGGGAAAGGCATGAGGACATTTGGGATTTTGTCCTGAAAAATACATGTGCTTTAACCCACAGAGGCGCAGCTTGCAGTGAGTGTTCTTGGTTCAGGGTTGCTGGACCAGCAGGCAGTGGCCATCCCAGCTGGGGCAGACAGGCCATGGGGTGACGGTGGGTACCATCACTGGGACTCCAAACAGCAAGGCAAGTGCCCAGGGCTTTATGCAATCTCTCTGCACCCAAGTCCAAGTGCCACATAATGCCTTAGAGCCCTCAGCTGTGGCTTTGTAACCCCACCACTGACCAGGGACACCCCGGGAACATCCTAAGGAGACCCCAGGGACATCGTTGCCTCTCACAGTGTCCCGCTGCCTTGTCCTGGGCATGCTCCCACCAGGGCCATGGGCAGCACTGCTGTGCAGATGTAAGAGGAGATCTTGTTTCTCTTAACCTGAAACCATTTCCTTTCCCCCACTGCCCTCCCTCCCCTTGCTCCCTAATTCGTCCCTGGGGTTTTAATATCTATTTCTCCAAGTGCCATAAGCCAAATTTACTGCTCACATAACTGCACTGACTTCAATGGAGAAGAGCGTTTAGGGTGCTCCAAGGAGGTGTAAGTAGGAGTGATGTGATGGAATTGAGTAAAGGAAAATACAGTCTGACTGTCAAGAAGAGTTTCCTACCAGTGAAATCTATAGACTGTGGAAGTTTCCCATGGGAACGAGCAGAAACCAAGTTGCTGAAGTCATTTTAAACCAGCACAAGAGAATAGGAAATCAGCCCTGTAACTGGCCAGAAGGAAAGGAGGGATGACATCATGCTACTTCTCCTTCTCTCATTTCTGTGGCTGCATTGCTTTGTCTATGAAATTATTTTAATGCAACTGGATTTCTCCTTCTTTTGGGTGATGAGATGGCCCTTGCTGCTTTGGAGAAGCAGTTCCTCTGCCCTGGATTAAATTCTGCCCTGGATTAAAGCAATACCCACTGCAGCCCCCATTAGTCTTTCTCTTATTTCTGCTGCTTGCAAACCCC